GCACAAACACACACACACACACACATATATATATATATATATATATATATATCATTTGAAATGTTATCGGATACCCCTCTTGAAATCGGCAGGGAAAGGGGGAAAAGGCACGAGTGTCAGAAATTCTCGCTGTTTCTTTGGGTTCGGCTTGGTTGGTTATCTTTGATGCCTGCATCACCACTGACTGACTGTCTTGCCTATTTGGCTGGCAAATACCCAGTGCACACGAGATATCATTGCTTATCTTTGCAACTGTTTCAAAATGCTGGCCGGTGGGGTCTATGGCACTTGTATCATCGGAGCCCTGTTGTCGAGGGCTGGGATATGTACATGCAGGCAGCGTGGTAGCATGTGAAGATGCTTCGCGCTCGTACGAGGGAGCAGACAGTGATCAAGCAAGCAAGCAGACCCGGAAGGCAGTGATACGGGATATCATGATTGGTGTTTACGATGTGCAGCAGCAGTGCTGGTATATTTTCTTTCATATTGGCATGAACAAGGGCTCTCCAATGTAGCATAGCACCCGCACTACCTCATTGTCTGGCAATTTGTTGTTCCGTGATCACTACTTTGCTTTGCTTTCTTTTGCCTCAGAAATGACTGGGTGCTTCCACTCCACGATAATTGATCAGAGAAAGTAACACGGACACTCACGAAATATGCCACCGATCCAAAACACGACAAAGACTGGAATCGATGAGCCTGTGAGTTCGTGATTCTAAAGACACTTGGAAAAATACCATTCCCAGCAATTCCAATCGACGGTGTCGCGTGCGCCGCCGCTTGTTGCCGTTTTTTCCTTCCCCCCTTCCCTTGTCGTGTATTGCGGCTCTCCGGAATAAGCCCGAGGACGCGAGGCTGTGGATACCTGCGGATTGCAACGGACTCCACTCCATCAATCAGCTCAGCCCTACCGGGGCTAAGGGGTGGTGCTCGTTCGTTCGCTCGCTGGCTGGCTGGATTGTGTACTGTGCGGATTGGATGGCTGCTCATTTATTCTTGTACTGTGTATGTATGAGTTGCATGCTGTCCTGGCCACTGGTGGTTCTTGACGTACTATAGTACGTACTATATAGCACAGCACATACCAAGTTCACCTCCATTGCTCCATGATCAATAGGGCGGTGCACACAGTACGCACGCATTTCAACGCTAGCAAATCCGGACTCGAGTTTCCAGCACCCCGTATGTGAAAGACATCAAACAGTAAGAGAGAGTGAGGCGACGGCTTGAGTTGTCCGAGTGGTGCGCACCAGTACTTTGGGTCAATACTTGGGTACCTGTACAGATGTACAGTGCTTTGAACCAGGTGGGTGAGTCGGGATTCTGGATCGTGTGCAATCCAAGAGAGGGACGTTGAGGATGAAGCCTAGCCTCGAATGTGCGTTACTGAGGAGGCAAGATATATGTGGCCACTGGCGCAGGCGGAGGCGCTGGCGTGTTTGCTATTGAGACTTGTTTGTCGACTTTTGATATGGACTGTTGGCGGTGTACTGTCGATGATTGCCAGGAGGCAACCACAATGACTGGCGTGACTATGGCAATGCCAAGAGGCAGTAGGTACAAGAAGCATCATGGGGGAGGAAATACAGATACATGAAGAAGACGAAAGAGAATATACCCGTGACTGAAGTCATAGGAGCAGCCTGTTGCGAGGAGAGCGTGGGTTGAGACGCAGCTGAATGGTCTTCTCATTGAATATATTTGATAGTCATGTATTCGTGGTCGGAGCCTCGCAATGAACACGTATATTGGGTATATCTAAGCAGAGCTCGGTATTGACATGAAGACGATTGCTAGGAATCAGGCAAAACTTGATGCTGTTCTTGTAAAGAAGTTACAGTCTGAGCGATACAGTATCGTTCTAGTTTTATGAGTATAGAATGGAAACTTTTGGCGCGATGCAATGGTTCCTGATATCACCATTGATATTGATATTGGAAGCGATAAAGCGCTTGATGTTAAATTTTGAGATGTTGTGCCACATTACTCTAAAGACTCCCTCAAGCCGGTTCAAATGCCAATTATGTTACAAGGAAGTATCATAGGGTTAACTCATCGGATGAGAAACGAGATTTTTTAATTTTTGTCCTTTTCTTTTCTTTCTGTTCTCTTCCCCCCACCCAAACCAACAAAATAGCCACAACGTAGGAAACGAGAATCGTGAATTCATTTAGCGATTTGTACAGGAATCTGGTCACAATATGGAATTCAAACTGGATGTTTGCATAGCATTCAGGCATGTGAGAATCGGCAAATTGAAAAGGAGCAACGATGCGCAAGAACAGCTCATCTTGACATGTTGGGGGTTCGACTGCAAAGCGTGTTGTATAAGCATGTACCTTTCCGGATCCAGATTTGCTCCCGCATGTCTCATGGCGACAGGAGCTGCCATTTTGTATTTCCAAAATGAATTGTTGTCGGCAAGTGAGACAGTTGATCTATCGACCAGTTGCGGTCTTGGCTCCAGGGTCTCCCACATCCGCAAGCGCTCAATTTGTCCCGTAAAAAGATTTGACTCAAATGCAAGCGATGGAGTAGTGGGCGGGTAGCCAATGGAGAGAGTCAATAATGTGCAAGCCCTCATGAAATATCCGGAGTCGCCCAACCACCAAGTATGCTTGCTTTGGAGACCCCAAATACAGCATCAAACGCATCCGGATGATCTTCGTTGACAACCTCTAGAGACTGCAACAGACTTGCAGCAACAATTGACAAAAGCTAGGGTCCGCGTCCGAAAATGACTTTGGAGGCCCCTTGTGACCATGCTGTGTGCAATTCTCCCTCTTTTGGCTGGTTTCCTAAGAATTGGTGAAGCCTTTTGAGATCCTTCTCCTCCAACTTCCAGGTCAGTCTGTGACAAACTGATAGTCCGGAATCCTATTCAAACACCTCTCTCGCTGCCGTAACTGGGCTCGCGTGTTAGTTAGTACACCGCCGCTTCAAATACATGCCGCGATGACTATCAGAATGTCATCGCCAAGGTCTTTCGCTTTCCTGTTCCTCGCCTTTGTCGCCATTCTCGTGCTGCTCATAACTGCAAAGCGCTACGACCGGGCAGCATGGGATTTGAATACTTCCAGCGCCGGCCGAGCTGGCTCAGAAAATGTGAAGGTCAAGCCCAGCACGTCTGGTATGCCTGGCACAAAGGCCGATGCTGGCACTGAGGCGGATGCTGAAAACAAGGAAAACAGCAACCCAGATTCGTCACCTCCTCAACATGGCCCAGACGACTTCTTCCACTTGCGTCCACCATCCCAGCAAGGCAATAGAAATGGCGTCCCGCAAAACATGTTCACGCCAGGCCGCGATCCAGCATGCATTGGGTTTCCCGACACGTCGGGGATCCTCCTCGTCATGAAGACTGGCGCCACAGAGTCCTTCGAGAAGATTCCTGTGCAGCTCATGACGGCGCTCAGGTGCCTACCCGATTTCCTCATCTTTTCAGACTTGGATCAGCAGATAGGCGGGTTCCACCTTCGCGACAGCCTCGACACAGTCCTCTCGGAAGCCAAACACAACAATCCTGATTTTGACCTCTACCGGGCACAGCAAGCCTGCGCGGTCGACCAGCACTCTTGTGCAAAGGCCTTCCAAGCCGGATACTCTTACATCGAAAATGACGGTGAAAATGACAACGAAAACGGTGCGGATGAATCCTCGTACGGAGGAGCCGGAACAGCAGCTTGGGACCTCGACAAGTACAAGAACATCCATATGGCAGAGAAAGCCTATCGCCTGCGGCCCAACTACGACTGGTACGTCTTTGTCGACGCCGACACGTACGTCTCGTGGCCCAACATGGTCGAGGCGCTGGGCCGCATGAACCCAGCCAAGGCGCGCTTCCTGGGCATGCCGACTGTCATAGGGCCGTACACTTTTGCGCACGGCGGCAGTGGCTATGTCTTGTCGCGCGGTGCTCTGAGCAAGTTTGCGGGCGCGAACCCGGGAATTGCAAACAAGTACGATATCGACATGCGGAACCACTGCTGCGGAGACTACATGTTTGCGCGCGTCGTCAAGAATACCAGTAACATAGACGTTGAGGGCTTTGTGAGTTTCACCTACCCGTACAATAGCAACCCGCGTGCAGCGAGCGCATCTCGACGGTGATCCCCAACTCTGGTGCTAACGCGGTGGACTTTCTCATCCCATAGTGGCCTCTCTCCAACGGCGAGAAACCGTATACTGTCCAATTAGGCCGAAACCACTGGTGCCACCCGGTTGGGATGATGCACCACATGAACAGCGAAGAGATCTCGTCGTTTTGGGAGTTTGAGCGCAGGCGGTATCGCACCAACAAGAAGCCGCTTCTCTTCAGCGAAGTCTTTGACGAGTTCATTGCTTCCAAAATCAGCGCTAGACGCGACGACTGGGACAACGGCGCTGACGAGTGGTTCTACCTTGATTTCAAGGCTGAGAATCATGAATGGGAGGATTGGCGCTTGGATCGAGCCATTAAGAGAGATGAAATGTCAGACCTAGAAAAGGTCGCGCACATGAGTTTTGAGAGCTGCAAAAGGGCGTGTCTGCACCATGAAGACTGCTTCCAATTCATGTGGCACAACGACTGTTGCGCCATGCACTCGAGCATGCGATTGGGGCAGCCCATGCGCAAGAAGCTAGGCGAGCACAACAAGATGCGCTTCCTTAGCGGCTGGGACATGGCAAAGGTCAGAAAATGGGTTGCTGAACATGACTGTAAAGACGAGATCGAGTGGCCAGAAGCTGTCGAGTTATATCCAGAAGGATCACCGCCTAAAGACCACGACCAAGAGTCCGAATAGCAAGCACATAATGAAAAGGCAGTGCCTACAAGCATCAGTCACTTGAACAAAACGTCTCCCTGAAGCTGACTGACGCGAGCTGAAAATCTTGACCAACTTGCCTTGACGAATTGTCCAATACGCAAGGGGGAAAAGATAGGCAGACAAGCCAAGTCGCATTCGACAGAAAATGATGTGTTTGGACGGCGTGATGTGCAAAAATGGCAAAAGATGTGTCCGAGGGGAGACTCGAACTCCCGACCTTTGGATTGGATATCCCAGTGGTGACCCACCGAGTCATACAAGTATGAGACCAACGCTCTAACCAACTGAGCCACTCAGACGACTTGTTGTGATACAACATGAACTTCGGGTGTTATGTATGCAACTAGAACTGTCCAGTGCAATGAGCACAATGCAAAAGGCTGGAATTGTCCTCATTACACAATCACAGAATATGGATATGATTGTCCAATCAAACGAAAAGCCTCGTGAAACAATATCAATACCATTGTAGGCATATTATCCTTGTTCTGTGTCCAATCTTGGATTCATTGCGAGTCTGTAATGCAGAAATACGGATGGATATGCCTCATATGTGGATACAGAGATGGTCAATCAATTGCCGTGTGGTTTTGCAACTTAAGGACAAGTAGCTTCGGCATAGGTCTCAAATCCGAATCTTGAAAGCCGGGGAGAAGATACCCAACCCTTCTAGTGATCAAATGCGCGTTCAAGCATTACGGGCCTGTCGGGGACGAGAAGAGAATTACGTGACGGTCGACATAACCTATCACATCCTGTCAGTGTCACTTTTGACTTCAGGCATGTTTCAGCCTCTGGGCCTGATCTAGCCTGAAGCTAGACCACAGCAGCGGCAATGACGACAGTATTCAAGGCCCTTGTTGGTTGGCTGGAACGAGACACATGACTATGCATATTCATAGACATGATGGCCACTGTTGTGGTTCCCGTTTTCTGGCGGCGCGCGATGGACGCGGCATATTCATCCGAACGACTGGCATTGTACCTAACCAATGACTGACTTCACTTTCAGTGACAGACCGTCACCCGTCAAAGCAGACTGAGAGTAAAAGACCTCACTGCTGAAATCGAAGTCAATGACTGTTACGAGAACCATAGCATCTCGGCAAGAGTCGGCCATGTTTCACTTGATAGGGCTCTTTCATCTATCAGCTCATAGCTGATAAATATCAGTCCGTCCTATCTTCGTGCTGGCCAAGAGCTAAGCTGTTGCACGAAATGTTCCGAGTCTGATATGACATACCAAAAGGCTTGAACCATGGACTATTATCAATCATGTTCAATTGTTATGAAGGCTGAATTGTATTCTTTTATTCGGCACGCGCCGGCTTCTGCTCACACGTTTCTGGTTCAGTCTTGAACTACTAACGACCATTTTGATTACCGCTTCCGCATACGTCGTCCTTGTGCCCCTCACACCATGGTCAACACCGGTCACCCAAGCAGAGCTTGCAAGCTCTGCCGAAAAAGACGCATCAAGTGTGATGAAACCAAACCAGGCTGTCTGAAGTGCAAAAAGGCCCAAAAACAGTGCCCAGGCTATAGAGATGCCTTCGAGATCAAGCTTCGCGACGAGACACAAAGCACCATTCGTAAAGCAAAAGCGGCAGCAGAAGGTCGAGATGATCAAGCACACTCCAGGAAAAACCAGGACAAGTCATCCAAGGGGTCTGGGAGACGACCATCGCAACAGCTGAAGCGGCCCAGAACGGCAAAACAACGACGAGGGCAACTCTCACCGGCATCAAGCTCACCCGTTAGCGATAACCATATAGAGCTGAAGAACACTTGGCTAGTTCCGCAGGCTAAAACTGATTGCACTTTCGGCTCCTTAGAATGCACCACGTTGTCCTCTCCAAGTGCCGTCTCACCAGTCCTGGACTGGGAGACGACACCTGTCTCGGAAAGCACGAATGTCGACCTGAGTATGATTCGGTCTCGATCAGATACTGATCTGAGCTCTTCAACCGATTCTGTAAATGGTTCCATCAGCCCTTCTTTCAGTGGAACCAGGCCGTGGTTCGAGAGTCAATCTCCGCTTTTTGAACCCAGTCCGGTCTCACCACTTCTCCTAGGGCTTCAGACACCACTGGACGAGCAGGCAACGTGCTTCTTCTTGTCGAGTTTTGTTCTGAATCAGTCACCGGGCAACCAGAATTATAACCTCTTCAGCTTCATTCTGAGGATCTTGGGATGGGGAGGCATCAATGATACGCCATTTCCCATGGCGTTTACCGCCGTTTGTTTGGCTGCTTTTGCTGGACGACCAGACGCACGGCATCTCCTACAAAAGTCTCGAATTTACTATAGCACGGCTTTGCTGCAGCTCAAGGAGGCCATCAAAGACGAGGCACGAGCAAAACACGATACATCTTTGGCAACAGCCATATTACTATCCTTATATGAGGTGAGTGTGTGAAATCCAACCTCTGTTTTGTGGTAGACCCCAATTCATAGGTAAATTCGAAACAGGGACTCGCGTGCGAGAGTGATAGCATGGTAGGGTGGTCCAACCACTTGGATGGAGCCAAAGCTCTCCTTCGGGTTCGAGGAAAGGGTGTTATCAAAGACAGCTCGGCAGAGGGCGTCGAGATGTTCCAGCTAGTACGGTCCATGTCGGTATGTCCTCACTACATCATACGTTTCGAGTCTCTGTTCGTGAAGACAATGGCTGATATAAGTCTAGATACGACAATACATGTTCGGCTTTGTCGCGAATCCAGCACCTGGCGAATGTGAATGGTGGGGTGAGCATCTTATCGCCCCCAAATCCGGCCATGTTGCTCTGATGCTCAACATGAAAGCGACTCTCATCCGCGCCGAGGCCGATTCCCTCTTCGCCTCGGAGTCTAAGACGGCGGACAAAGTCGAGAAAGCCTTGGAACTACTTGGACGTGCTCGTGAGATTGTTGTTGAATTGGGGCACTGGTTCGACCATTGCCATCCGACATGGCCAAAGTTCGTCTCCGGTTGGGCAGCGGAAGTGACAGATGACAAATTATCAAAGGCGCCAGCATTCCCCGGCCCAATCTTCGCCTTTCCAAACATCTGGGTCGCAGGCAAGCATCTAAACATTAATGCTTCGAGGATCATGCTGTCCGCCATTGTGGTCCGTTGTCTGCAGTGGATCTGCTCGCCGTCAGATCACACGCAGACAGACGATTATGCCGAGGCCATGCGCGTTGGGGTGGACGAGGTGGCGAATGTCGTGGCCAGTGTGCCGTATTTTGTCAACTGGACTGGCGACAAGGCGGCGACAATGCCTGACTTTCCTTGCGGAACCTCAACAACGCCAAAAGCGTATAGTGCAGTGACTGCGCTGTATCCTTTGCTCTGTACAGGTCTCAGTGTGTTTGCAACACGGAGACAGAAGACATGGCTTTGTTACCAGCTCAATACAATGTCCGAAACAATGGGGATCAAGCAAGCTGGTTTCTTCGCGCAGGTGAGTGCGGTTCTTCATCTTAAGCAAGACTTGAGGCTAACAAGCGATGCCCTTAAGCTGATATCCCAACAACAACAATCCTGACCAGAACAAGATTCCCCAAGACTTTTCACTTTTCGCAGCTTCTTGTCAGCAATTTTGAGGCAGGGAAATTAAACAAGCATGCGTAATATCGGCACTTGTATCGATCTTGCAGCTGAGTCTACATCTATGCAAACCAATGTCTATTCTTGGATGATAGGAGACCATCATTCCAATCTTTCCGATCTGTCTTGCATACTATTGTTTGGGACTTTGTGTATGAACTTGCAGCGTTTAGCGAATCACCAACATGATGTTTTTCATTTGATATTCTAGGCCGTTATTTTGCGCCTCAACCTCTGCACACAATGACAGCGTATGAAGTTCATAGACATCTTGTCGTACAGGATAGAAAATGTGGCGACCTCGACCGGTCCACAATCATTATTCGTCAGGGAAACACTTCTCTGCCCCGATCAAAAGCGACGGCCCAGACCCTGGACAGGTATCATCTCCTCTTGTGTGACTGATGCATACTTATGAACGTCCACTTCACGCATCGCCCCCGCATCTTTCTGCAGCCAATATGCTGCAAAACCCCATGTCGACGATTGATAGCTCGGCTTCGCCATACGATATGGTCACCAGGTTTACGGACAGTTTTGGCGAGCCATATGCACACTTGGATGTTGACTTGCCGCTGCAAAGCGGAGCCATGCTGTGCTTATCACGTTTGTTGGGTAGCACTCCGTTCTTGTATTGATGATAACACGCCGGAACGCACCAAAGTTAATCGCGCGTATGACCTCGAACCCAGACTCATTCGGATTAGATTATCAGTAACATCTACCCCCGGGCATGTTACGTCGCATCCCCAAGTGTTTCCTGGCATTTAGAAATCGCCACTGCGAACCGCAAGGAGTATCAAAAGAAGCAAAGTGCCTGTGGGTTCTACCCATCTTGCTTCCTTCTTGTTCTTGTGATACGATCGACGAACACCTATGTGAATCTTGTTTGATTCTCGGAAGTCTAGCAAGATGGCGTCGTCTGAGCCAGCGAGATCCACAGCTCTCGAGAAGCAGATAGACGTCCACAACAGCACCGAAGTGGCTCGAGCAGTGGAAGATCTGGAAAGGATCAAGCGAAACCATGCCTTTGACCCTAATTTACCCGAGGAGAAGACTTTATTTGTCAAGCAAGCCATTGCAGATGGCAACTCGGACGAAATCCTCGAGGCCGACGCCCTGTTTACGGAAAATTCGCCCTACGACGAGGTGCGCGCTGCTGTACGCAACACGGACGGAGAGGAAGTGGCAAACACTGTCCGCGCGTGGATCCTCGGTATGATCTTCGTCACGCTCGGTAGCGGACTCAACATGTTCCTGTCCATGAGAAGCCCTGCTATCAATTTCCCCGCGCTCGTGGTGCAGCTGCTTGTATACCCCATTGGGTGTCTCTGGGCCAAGATCGTGCCCACTAGACAGTTCAGCTGGTTCGGCTGCAAGTGGACGCTCAACACTGGTCCGTTTACAATCAAGGAGCATGTTGTTGTTGTCTTGATGTCGAACGTCAGCATTGGATACGCATGCAAGTAGAATTCATTTGTTTTCTGGCTACCGGAACGCAGACCAGTGCGTGGAGATGGAATACTATGGCCCGCTATCTCAGAAGGAGATGAAAGACTTGCCAATTTGACTCTACAAATTGTGATGAAGCTAATTCGTCTTTCTTGATAGACAGTACGGATGCTTTGTTGGCTCTTCAGGGAAAGCCTTTTTACAATATCAACCTCGGATGGGGCTTCCAGCTGTTATTCACTTTGAGTTCGCAGCTCATTGGTATCGGACTGGCTGGCTTGGCCCGACGGTTTTTGACTTGGCCAGCAGCAATGATATGTATGTGGATTGATTCATTGGAAAGGTTTCATTCAGCCCGAAGGACAAGATGTATGATTGCAAAGTCTCTAACGGCGCAATGGTGACATCGGACAGGGCCGGCTCAATTCAGCAACACCACGCTGTTCTACGCGCTCCACGATAAATCCAAGAGTGACGCAGTCGACAGTAATGGATGGACCATCAGCCGCTACCGTTACTTCTTTCTCGTCCTTTTCGCAATGTTCTGTTACTACTGGATTCCGGGGGTTCTCTGGCAAGGACTGTCAGTATTCGCCTTCATCACCTGGATCCGCCCCAACAACATTGTACTGAACCAGCTGTTTGGTGGCTATACCGGTCTGTCGCTCATCCCCATCACATTTGACTGGACGTACGTGACTGCATACCTGGGTGATCCTCTACTGGCGCCAGTCCACACGGCCATCTCGGAACTGTTTGGCCTTTTCCTCTTCGTGATTGTGGTCACGATCGGGATCAATTATTCGGGAGCAATCTACAGCGAGTATCTACCGATCAACACGAGCCAAACATATGACAATATGCAGCAAGCATACAACGTCAGTCGTATCTTGGGTGACGAGTTCACCTTCGACCTGGCCAAGTACGAAGCATACTCGCCTCTCTTCCTGGCGCCCACGTTCGCTCTCAACTACGGCATGTCATTCGCCGCTCTGACGGCTGTCCTGGTGCACTGTGGTCTTTACCACGGCAAGGAAATTTACCACCGCCTCAAGGCCGCCAAGAGCCAGGAGCCAGATATCCACATGAAGCTGATGAGCAAGTATCAAGAAGCGCCAGAGTGGTGGTACCTTGCTCTGTCTGTGGTTTCCACGGCTTTGGGTTTGGCTACCGTGCTTGGGTACAATTCTCAGCTGCCGTGGTGGGCTTACTTTGTGGCTCTCATACTTGCTATTGTTTTCATGCTGCCTACGTGTATTATTTTGGCCATCTCGAACCTCGGTCTTGCACTGAACGTGCTTTCGCCTTTCTTGGCTGGTTTCATGATACCCGGCAAGCCAATTGGCGTTATGATCTTCAAAGTGTATAGCACTATTGTTCTCGGCCAGGCGCAAACGTACGCTGGAGATATGAAGATGGCGCACTACATGGTCAGTTCTTCCAGAACAATAATCTCATGCCACTGCTGACAATGTCCAGAAAATCCCACCTCGTATCACGTTTTGGTGCCAGATAGTTGCAACCATATGGGCTTCGATCGTCCAGATTGCCGTGATGAATTGGACCTTGGGAACCATCGATGGCGTCTGCGACCTGTAAGTCAAAGTTCTTTCTTGCGACTTGATCTAATCATCATTTTCCACCTCGTCTGACAATAGCTCCAGCGAACAACCTGCCAAATTTTCATGCCCTAACGGGCGCGCTTTCTTCTCCTCGTCCATCGTTTGGGGTGTAATTGGTCCCAACCGCATGTTTGGCCCCGGTTCCATCTACCAATACTTCAATGTCTTTTGGCTCATTGGCGCCATCCTCCCGTGCATCTTCTACGCCTGCTTCAAGATGGGCAGCGTGACTACTACCACCACTGCCACTGACGGCACTACCAGCCAAAGTCGGACTCGGGCCCGCTCAGCGTTGGCCTGGATCGGCCGCAACCTCCACGCGCCCATCATGCTGGGCGCCATGGGCTGGCTCCCACCTGCGACGCCGCTGTCCTTTTCCACATGGGGGTTCTTTGCGATCTTGTTCAATCATGTGATTCGGAAGCGCTTCCACGGGTGGTGGAGCACGTATAACTACATCACTGCGGCTGCTCTTGACGCTGGCTTGATTATCTCGACGATTGTGATTTTTTTTGCTATCACGTTGCCTGGCGTGACGATACCACAGTGGTGGGGCAATGTCGGTGTTTATGAGACCATGGTAAGTGATAACCAACTCTGTGCTGACTATTTTTGTTGGAGCTGAATGCGAGATTCTGAATCGTGTACTAACGCGTCTTTCTTCGATGTAGGATTCTTTGTATACCGCAATTCTCAGAACCGTAGCGCCAGGGGAAACGTTCGGTCCGGCCAAATGGTAATAGACAGTGAAATGCCGTATCGAGGGCACGGGGTGTTTCATTGTTCAGTCTCAGATACGATGACCGAGTCTTTAAATTCCAGACGTGTAATCATATCATAATCGCGAACCAAGACATGCACGTACCAACTAGGGGTCAAAACAATGTATATAATTATTTTTAGAATATGAATTTTCAACAAGTTCCAAGGCGCCGTGGCAGAGTGGTCTAATGCGATAGACTAGAACCGGCTTAATAAGCTGATTCCAGTTATCTATTCTCTTCGGAGGCTCAGGTTCGAATCCTGACGGCGTCGTTTTTTGCGCATTTTGCCGTGGATCATTTTGCTCGTAGGTGTCAGAGGAATCGTGTCCGTGTATATCAGAGGCAGAGGATGATGTTGCGGTGTTGGTGGGTGATTTCTTTGGTCGACTTGTGGTGTGATGGCCTAGTAACGTACAGTGTTGTGGGCGCTTTGTCATCGAACCCTCGGCCTAGGGTTCTGGCAGCCACGCCCGCAACGGGCCGTGTAGAGTCGCAAGTTTGAATCATGCCGGCGCGGTTCTTTTATTGCTGTTTTCACGAGGATAGTTTTTGCTTTTTTTATTCTTTCTCTGCATTCATTCATCGACCTTGAGAGCCCAGATAACAGAGCAAAAAGAACTGAGAAAGGATTGGAGTAACAACCAGGGCCGGGCTCCTCCTACGCCTCTGTCCGATCCACAACAGCAGTGAGATTGTTGGATATACTGACTCATCGTATGACGCCCTTTACACTCTCCAGGAACGCAAATGCAGGATTCTGCGTTGGCCTGTCCGTCTCGATCACGCCAAACCACAGCTTGGACTCGATCAGATACTTCTCCTTGGGCCAGTGCCCCCAGCACGCTCCCGGTGACAACGCATCCAGGCCTTTACTACGTTCCCTCACGACGCCGTGACGGACGTGCCAAAACCCGCATCGGCCGCGTAGCCACTCGCAAGGAATCCGTGGACCCCTACAGACAACGCCAGCAGCGCGATGCCGACGGCGATGCCATGATGTGGCCGGATGAGTTTGAAAGGTATCTGTGTGGCCCTCTACAAGCTTGCTCTCTGCACAATTACGTAATCCAAGGCTGCGGAAAACACTTACAGCGGGCTGAGCCGCTGCAGACCGGGGCCCCGCAAGTGGGAATAGGCGGGGGTGAGGGTCAGTACTCCACTGAACCCTTGATTTTTACGCCCCTGTAGTTATAGCGGCTCTCCATTTCCCGTAGCCAATGCTTCCACGCATCAGAAATGAGCCACCATCTCCAACCCCGAAGCACAAGACAGGTGTCCTGGCAGCGAGGTGTGACCACACGTAAGCAACTAGCATATAAACCAATGCTATAGGTGTTGATATCATGTCTCCAAAAACGATACGATGAATACAGAGACGTACGCCTCCTCAGCCGCAACGAAGCTTCAAATTTGGGAGCAAGGACCGGTCTGTCCCACGGGGCATGGCAAGCGAGTGCTGCAATTAGAGGCAAGCCGAACAGAAGGAATTGTAGACAAGAGTCTCCACCCGCATCCTACTCATGACAAGACTTGAGAGTGATCACTTGAGAGTGATCACTTGAGAGTGATTATATAATCAATTCAGACTCTTCAAGTTTGCGAGAAGACACAACAGCATGGACCCATGCTTCATATACCGACGAAACTAAATGCTTTGAAATTGTGTTGCGGACTATGGCTTCTTCAGCTTGGCGTAGTCTATTGTGTAATGATACAGATGTGCTTGCCCGGACACAATCACAAGGGGTCCTTTCCATTCCATCACGTACGTACCCTCTTCAAAAGAAACTCCTCAACGGCCTTATTTCACACAGGAATGGTCTCTGAAGCAGTGGAGACGTGGGCTTTGCGAGGGTCAAGCGTGTATGTAAAAGCACAACAGCCACACAGAATCCTATTCTCTTAACTTCCAATAACAAGAAACTTCAATAGCACTGCTTTTTGCGAAGGCTTTATGCCGACGACTTTGCAACCTGCTCGGCCCATTCGACCCTTTCTCTCTTGAGCTCTTTCTTGACGTACCATATGGTGGCCAGAACCCACACGCCGGCCCATGCGAAAGGCACAGACCAGCCAATAGCGAACGCTGCGTCGTCGCTCACAGTGAAGATGAGAATCATGCAGACTACAGCCATGGCCTCGGCACCTACCGCCCAAAAGATCCCCAGTCGGCGAAGCATAGCGCGGAAAATGTGGCTTGCCTCATATCTTCGGTTCAAGGCTTCGCGGTATGCCGTACCCCCGGAACCATCCACAGCGATGACGTCTTCGATCATGGTGTAGATACATGGTCGCAGCTGAGCGCCTTTGGGTATCGAGGACATGCGCATGGGTGCAGGGACGCGGAAGAGGCGCAAAGTATCAACCAAGAGCAACTCGGTTCCAAATGTGAACAGCATAGTAGTCAAGGGGACCGACAAAAGGCGGATTGGCGGCCAGTATTGGCAAGTACCCCTGATTATAAAATTAGTACTGAATTCAAGCAATGTGCAACCTGAAATGGAACTTACACAATCAGCTCTACCATGACGATGATCCAAGCGAGGGAGTAATTCCAGTGGAACAGGTCCAGATACCATCTCTTGGCGCCGATGACGCGGCAAGTGCTGTTCTTTTTATACAGCCGCCAGAAACGGACGGCATACTCGACAATACTTGCTCCACCGATTGCAGCGGTGACAATGGAGAAGACAGCATTGGCTGACAAAACCTCTCCCTTATGCGTCGGCGTATTCGCTCCAGGGCCGACACCATACCACAGCCCAAAGTACAATGCAATGGGCATGACGACCGAGTCGAAGACAATAAAGGACCAGAAGATGAAGATGGACTTCTTGCGGGTATGCAGCGTGTAGTTGAGTGGCGGCGGCTCCGGTTCCAGCAGCTCTGGCGTTGACCCTCCCGAAGCTGTCGTGCTCGTGGGCTCTGGGACTACACCACTGCTCCCAGCAGCGGCTTCGGCCCCTTGCACTGCTGGAATTTCGTCATGATGACTGGAGAAGCGCCTGGTCATGGCCAAGCTAGGCCGGCCAAAAGGACCATCGAACCGCCGGTTGAACTCAGCACTCGACCGGACGGCCCTCTGGCTGTCGATACGCGTCGTCGTCGGGGCATGGATGGGCGGTGTTTGGTGCGGGTCGGATGAGTTTCCTGGTTGTTTGTTGACGGTGGGCAGGCTGTTCGAGCGTTCGCCTTTGCTAGCGCCCGGGCTCCCTGCGCTGCTTCTCGGCGAGAGAGGGCTGCGACCCACATCTAGAGAATGGCGTCCAAACCGAGTGCGTGCGCGCTCCGAGTGCAGACTTGCTCGAGGAGGCCTGTCGTGTGCAGCCTCGCCGCCGTGTGTCTCGCCAGGATTGACCGCCGACGGTATCGGGGACAGCGGCAGTCCTTCGGGGCGCGCGTCCATGATCAGTGTGCACGCGGTTTCCGCGCCGTCGAAGCAGGTCGATCGTATCTCAGCGAGCAATCTGTCCTAGTCTCAAGCGAAGTTGGCGATAATCTTGATGGTCCTGAACATACGGAGCAGGCGGGGCTTCGTCGCGACAGACTGGTGGTTTGTCCTGGAAGACGGAAAATAAGGTTGGGGTATCAAGAAAAGGATATCAGAAATTGATGAAATGTACAGTGAAGAAGGATAACTTGTGTGGATCCTGGGCCAAATTTTGAGGAGGATTATGCACAGTGACTGGCTGACTGGGTTGAAGACCGTTGAAATTGGATCTCGACTCGAACGCTGGGCGTTGGCAGAGGCAAAGGGGTTGCCTGGCCACATTTTCCCCTGTGGCAGGAAGGCATGAGGTCATACCAAGGCACGCTTGACTGCAAGACTGCAAGAGCAACGGCAACCATGGCTGACCTGTGATGTCATTTCACTCCGGACCCACTTGTCGCTGCTCCTACACCCAGGCTTTGACACTCCAACATCTGATGTCCGTGTTTGATGTTTTGATGATCCATTGGCTGTTCAAAAGGGCCATATATCTTTGCTTTGGGTATGATGAACAAAGTAGACATCTCATTGTAGATATCTCCATGACCTCAACCCGTAGCCAACGAAGCATGATTTTGGCTGAACGTTGGACAGACCAGTCCGGTCCCGCATGGAAACTCACACTTTATAGCGGGTAGTCAGGGCGTGTCTCACTATAACCACCCGCTACAGCGATCCCGCTACAGCGGTTACCTAGACCGCGTGCCAGGCGTGAACCCTTTGGAAGTGCGACCCTGAGACATGCTTGCCAATCTGCCAATCCGTCAGTCGAGCCCAGATGCAGAAAAACACACAAAAAAGAAAGAAAAAACACAAAAAAGAAAAACGCTACCAAAAAACCACCGCTATCACATTAGACAGCACCCTTACAATATTCCCTGAAGCATCTTTGTCAATCATGACATGTCCGACATGATTCTGCCCACACATTCACCTACCAGACCAGCCTGACCTACCCAATCTGGCCATCCCCGGACGTCACCCTGCCTACCGCGTCAGCCCAGACAAGCCAAGACAGCCGAGCCCGCTGCCCGCAATTGCTTAGTCCACTGCTTGTTTTCGTTGTGGCTGGCCTCCTCATCGAGATCAAGTGATTGGCTGCTCTGCTGACTTCAGGATGGTCGAAGCTATGTTCCCTGCAAAGAGCGGTTGTGTTGCTCATGTCTAGTTTGGGCGTTATCTTGAAGCCACTGCTGACCATGCCAATCCCAGTCACAGGACAAGGCCACGAGGACCGCTTTCTGTTGATGCTCCAGGCTCGCGGCGCTGCCGTCCAGCTGCTAGAAGTCGCTACTAGCCATTGATGTTACGCTGTCCGAGTCTTAGCAAAGCAAGCCAGCCAGCCGAGGGCTGAGGCTGCGAGCCACGCGATCCTTGTGCACTCTCGGAGCCGCGACGCCATGCCGTTCTTTGCCTGTGTTGAAGGTCCTTGGGATCCAGGAAGGCGTAGTAGCCCCAAAGCCGCATCCTTTGAATCCTAGAGGCTGTCGAGCAGAGGCTGAAGCACGGAAGGCAGCCCTCAATCACCCGATGGTGGCCCCGCGACCAGGCCCCATTGCCAGTTTGGTTACATGATACTCGGCACATGGCTGTGCCCGAGGCCAAGTCGTGGGGCTCGATGATCTCTTCGTCTGCTTCAGAAACAAGCCCTACACCCTCATTCTTCCTCCTTCACGCGTCTGAAGCCACCCGCCAGACCATCAAGCAAGCAGTGTTGCATATCCATCCTGTCCAAGCCATGGCCAAAGGGGCAGCTGCAAGATGCGACGTGCCGCCGCCGC